AATGTGGAGATAATAGTGGAACAGACCTCAAGAAGAAAGGAAAGAAATAAATAGCCCACCATATGCTGCCTTGGTCCAGCTTAAGCCTTTTGACTGTAAATGATCACAAAAGCAGTCAATGCCTAAGACTAACTCTGTCATTGACCGAACTGATTGTTAATGATTTGCATCATATGTATAATGTCTTATGTTATTACTATGTTATAGCTTTATGAATTGTTTTAGTTTTATATAATGCAGCAAGTACCTCCCCTGCAATGATCAATATCATTAGATGAGCAATTTTCCATCAATGAGGTCTGGACTCATTTCCAGTAGTTCTTCTAAGTGGATTATTATAGAAGACTTTGCAGCTTTGGTGTCACCTGGGACCATGAAAGACAGGATTAGGCTTCTAGCTAGACTTAATTATTGTACCTGTAACCAAAACCAGGTTAGATTCATTTGCAATTGCTGATGGTTCTTGTCCAGATAGAATTCTAAGTGATTGAACTTCAATTACATTTGCTTTATTCTCTTTGGGCTTAGTTTGGAAGGAGTACAAATACAAATTTGTAGAGTACAAAACCTTATAATTTGTATTATTTTATATGTATTTGCATTGTACATATTTGTATTTGTATTTTTCCAAACTGAGCCTTGAGATTTGTTTTCATGCTTGTATGTAATAAAAAAGGTAAAAGGAATCCAAATCCCCCTGAGCACTTGCTGTGTCAGCTAACTTCATTTTCTTATGTTGTTTTTGGTTGTTTTGTTTACATGTTTGCCATGTATACAGTTATGGAGTTTCTCATAGGCAGAGTTCCAGTTGACATGAAAAGGCTTCCCGGAGAAGATGTTCTGGTATCTTGGGTATGTTCTTAGCTGTTCGTATTACCTGCATTCGTAGTTAGGTTCTCTACTCAGTTTTCTTTCCTGTTTTAATTATACTATTTTAAACCAGGAATCTAGTAGCATTCTCATTTATTTGTAGTACAGAAGCTTTCCATTCAAACATGCCAAATGCTAGTGCAGTTTGCAGCCTAATTGGCCTTGATGCTAGACGTGTATCAAGTGTTAATTCTCGTGTGGGTCAAGCCAATTCTCGAATGCCTTGCTGCTTATATTTATTACTATATCATATATTATAATGTGCTCTCCTTCATTGCTCTCCTAATTATTTATATTGCAATTTTAGGTATTACCAGTTTCAGATATTAACTCAACTCTTTGTCTGCTCTTTGAAGACTTCTAGGGACTTTATGATATGGGTTTTATCTCTTTATTGTAGGATTTATTATGGTTATCATCTCAATGATTTTGAAATATCTTCAAGCCTGTGAAGGCCAGACAATGGTGGATAGAGAAACAGAGGAAGTAATAGAGAAGAGAGAATTCAATTTTCTTATGTGACAGGTGAAGAAGTAGCAGAGAAAGTAATGCATGAGTGCTAAAAGAAAGCACAGAGAAGTAACTTAGCGCAAATAATATACTGTAGTAGTTGTATAAAAGCTTAGTAGAAAGATATTCTCTAAAGACATAAGATGTCTAACTTATTCAGAAAATTAAGGGAAGATAGAGATTACCTATGCAGTGGCTGGAAGAAGCTTTCCAGAAGAATCCCTTACAGCAGCAGAGCCACCCATAGCAAATATACATGGATGGCCTTTGACATGGAGAGTTTCATATGTTTCTCCTTGAGTGCTACCACTAATAGGAAATTCTAGTGGCCTTTTGAAAACATAGAATAGTTACTAGATGGTTTCAAATGAATGATCCTGAACGACTGAACCTTGTTGCCTTTTGAAAACTATTTATCACATCTCTAATTTAAATTTAAATGAATGATCACGAGGATAAAATTAAAAAGGAATTACCTTTAATTTTCTTTCTTTTTTTTATTTCTTCCCTCTTGAAGTTCTTATTGACAGTACTATACAAGCATCTTAGGTTTGCTCTATTTATTGACATATGTTGTGTCTAATTTACTAAGTAAATTAAACTTGCTGGTTATGCTCTTGCAAAGAATGACTTTCCATTTTGAAAAGGTATTTGGTTACCTTAGGTTGGTTTGTTTTTCTTTCTATATTCAATGTTTTGGATCCTCTTAAACCCTATTTTCATTTATCAAAAATAAATCTTTGATTTCTACTTTCAAGTACCAAATAGATTCATAGTCATAGATGGAAAATTGAAAATTTGGTTGGATGATCCCTAGGTTCATTGTTCAGCGTCTTCAAAACTTCATTTTTGGTAAGTAGTGATCACATATCTGACTGTAACGTAGAACTAATCGCCCCTCTTTTACCTATTTTTACACTCTCCTACTTTCATCTTAAAATATGTGGAAATAATCTGATGCTGAGAATTGGTATAAAGGCATTCTTATACAATACTCAAGAGGAAAATCTGCTTTGGTTTTTTGCTCCACCAAAAAAAGGAGCACAAGAAGCTGCACTCAGTCTCTCTCAGTAGTCATTAAATCAACACAATACTTGTAAGTTGAAGTGCTGAACTCTATTCATATTTAGATTTTAATTCTTCTGAATTTTAATGATCAAAGAGTACCATGAGTGACATCATGTTTAGACACTAAAAATTTTTCCCTTGTTCAGCAACAAGGAGAAAGACCTTTGTGTAGAATATGATAGGTCCTTGATACTACAGGTATGTCATATCTCACAATCTTCAGATTCAATTAAAATAGATTTCCTTCCTTGCATTAGGAATATAATGGAACTCCTTGCATATTCATTCATAAAATTTAGAAATAAGATAAAATTATTTGGTCCAATGTATTCATCTAAGTC